ATTAATTAACAATATGCTAATATTAAATAATCTAAGGAGTCTCCTTTCCACTATAGATGTCCTCATCACCTCCCCACCATCACAGATGTCCTTATGAAGCCTGCCCACAAAAGGTATCCTCATTGGTCCCTGACCACCATAGATATCCTCATTCCCACCATCCCACCACAGATGTTCTCATCACCTCTTTCCCACCATGGACAGCTTCATCACTTCCTCCCATCCTCAAGTGTCCTCATCACCTTCTTCTCAACACAGGTGTTTTCCTCAACCCCTGCCCACCACAAATGACCTTATCAGTCCCTCGTGAGTAGATATTCTCATCCCTCCTCCTGTTGACTGTATTACTATGTTTTTGTTGCTTTTAAGTGCCATCAGTTGGTTCCGATTTTCAGTGACCGTGTATAGGATTTCCAAAAAGTGGCTGGTGAGCTTGAATCTCTGACCTTGCAGTTCAAACTGACCTTGAAGTCCAGCACATTAACCCACAGCACCACACCAGGACTTTCAAATCTATTATGTGTAATCTTATTTGCAACAGATTATTGTTGTTGTGAAGTGCTGTAGAGTCGGTTCTGACCCCAAGTGATCCTGCATAGAGTTTCCAAGGAGCAACTGGTGAGCTTGAACTGGTGACCTTGTGGTTCAAACTGATTTTACAGTCCAGTGCATTAGCCCACAGTGCCACACCAAGGCTCCATTTCTCAGTTAGTCATGTCAAAACACTGTTTGGGAATGATAATAGCTTCATGGTGTTTATTAAGGGATCATTGCAGTGCAGCCATTTCTTTAAGATATTTACCATGAGGCCATGATCGAAGCATCTTCTGATTACTCACAATGGCCTGCTCCACCAGGGATGCACAGCCTCTGATGTTAACTGTGAAAGTCTACACATTGCTATGGAATTGGATTTCTTTCTTTCTCATGGATGTATTCATGTAAACATGTCTCATTATTAACACTCAGTAAGTGATCAGAATGTAATCCCTAAAATATGGAGGGGGTGCTAATTTGGGAGGGGGTCCCACTTTTATTTTTCAGTGATGGATGGAAAAGAAACAAAATAAGGTATCCAACTTGTTCTTCATATTTTACTTTCATCTGTCTTTAGATTGTTTGTCTATTTGTCATGCTTTCTTCCTTTGTGCCTGGACTATTACACAGAAAAAGATTCAGTGCCATCTAAACATTCAGTGATCAATGATTCCATGGTAGACCTCTGTCAGAGGGGCTAGGAAGCTACTTTACATAAGAGAATATTTTTTGTGAAGATTCACAGCATCCACATGCAGAGATAAAAACAATTCTTTTCAAATACAGAGACTGCAGGGGACCTAAGGCACTGGATCACTCCATAGGCCCCTTAATGACTTCATTTCTGTTCATGCAAATGATGCATCGAAACTCAAAATCAGGATGAGTCCCTCAATGATCTGTGCTCCCTGCATGCAGAGGGCAGTTTAACTCCAGACTCTTCAGCAATAATGTTCATTTGAGAAAGAGCTCATGTAGAGAAGGCAATAGCCTGAATGCCCTGCAGTAGCTACATCTAGCTGATGCCTGCTTCCTTCTTCAGCATGCCTCTGAATGAAGACTCTGCCAGGTTCAGGAGCCATGGAGGAGCCAAGGCAGCACCGGGCATTCTGTTCCCAAGGGGAACATGAAAAGGCTGTCCCAGTGACCATCCCCATAGGTTTCAAAGTCATGCTGTCCACCCCTTCCTCTCCATCCTGATAGTCACACCTAGTTTATTGATAAAGTGTTGCTCTCTGTGAATGTGCACAGGCCCCCTGGAAGTGTTTCTTCCCTCCCTCATCTCTCTTTCCCCAACAGTATCCAAACTCTCAATTCAAAAATACAAGCAAAGAAGGAATATTCACAGCAAGGATCATTACCTCCTCTGCATATAGGGTTAATGTTGTTGTTGTTAGGTGCCATCAGGTCGGTATTGACTCATAGCGACCTTATGCACAGCAGAACGAAACACTACCCGATCCTGGACCAACCTCACTACAGTTGCTACACCTGAGTCCATCGATGCTGCCACTTGGCCAATCCATCTTGTTGGGTGTCTTCCTGTTTTTTTCTGACCCCTCCACCTTATCAAACATGATATCCTTTTCCAGTAACTGGTCCCTCCTGACAATATGCCCAAAGTATGAGAGACGAAGTTTGGTCATCCTGGCCTCTAAGGCGCACTCTGGCTGCACTTCTTCTAAAACAGATCTACTGGTTCTTTTGGCAGTCCATGGCACTTTCAGTAGTCTCCTCCAACACCATAACTCAAAAGCATCAATTCTTCTAGGGTCTTCCTTAGTCACTGTCCAGCTTTTGCATGCATATGAGGTTATTGAAAATACCATGGCTTGGGTCAGGAGCACCTCAGTCTTCAAGCTGACATCTTTGCTCTTCAACACTTTAAAAGGGTCTTGTGCAGCAGATTTGCCTAATGCAATACGTTACTGCTGCTTCTGTGAGTGTTGATAGTTGATCCAAGAACAATGAAGTCCTTGACAACTTCAATCTTTTCTCCATTGATAAGAAAGTTGTTTATTGGTCCAGTGGTGAGGATTTTTGTTTTCTTTATATTGAGATGTAATCCATACTGAAGGCTGTGCTTTTTGATCTTCATCAGGGTTGATGTTGTTGATATGTGCTGTGGAGTTGGTTCCAACTCATAGAGACCCTGTACAGGATTTCCAAGGCTGTAAATCTTTACAGGAGTGGAAAGCCTCATCTTTCTCCCATGGAACAGTTGGTAGTTTCGAACTGCTGACCTTGCAGTTCGCAGCCCAAATCATAACCACTATGCTACCAGAGCTCCTTCTTAGGGTTGATAGGGATGGGCAATTTAGATATCAGCTACCTAAAATGGGGAGTGGGGGCTACAAAGGCACAAAGTGAGTGGCTTATACATTTTCAAGAGGGAGTTTAGTTATAGAGGGTATAGGGGAAGGTAGAACCTCCACTGAGTGGTTTTCAACCTGTCTAGATAGGGCTGGTGAAAGGACACGGGAGTAAACTCTTGTGGCTCAATGGTGAGTAATTGTTATCAGGGCTGATTGTGATTGTTGCAAATGTAAAGGTAGATGTATTGTAACCAAAAGAGGGGAGTGGTTGATCTTGCAGTCCAGGAGCGGAGGACCCGGGACCATCAAGGGAGAAGAGTGGAGTGTGGGACCCTATTTAGAGAAGCAGTGAACACCAGAGATGGAGGCAGAGATGTTGATGTGGAGAGATGGAGTGGCTGGGGACTCTAGACTCATGGAGGGAGAGGGGTTGTTTGCTGGTGTCCAGGGGGCAGACTTGCAGGGTATGCCCTTTGGTTGTTTGGATGATTATATATTCCTGAGTATTTTGGTGTACATCCAAAAAACAAAACAAAAAACAGGGAATACAGGCAAATACTGTTGAAGGATGATGCATAGAGGCAATTACAATGCATTGTAATCATTGCAATGAAATGAAATACAATCAGATGAGTGTAAAGCTGATGTTCTCCCATGTAAACTATCACTCAATTCACAATAAAAACTTAAAAAAAAAGAAATACAAGCAAAATAAAACTGCAGCAGTTACAGATAAGTCCTGTCTTCTCTTGTAGCGCTCCTCCTCTCCATCCAAAAATGGCACTTATTACTTATTATGAATAATCAATAATGTCATTTTGGGATGTTAGTACTTATAAGGCTTATCAAAGATTTTGCCCAACAATATCAGCCCTTTCCTAGAAGGTGACAGTGGCCATTGGGAGGAGGGAAGAGTCTCTCTGCTCCACACTGAATATTACCCCAGATCTTTTTACCCACCTTGGGGATCAGTTACTCTTGCCATTTTATGAGTGAACAAATGGGCTTAGATCCATTAGTATTCTAGGGTAGAGCATCATGGGGTTGGGAGTGGGAGAGGAGAGGTAGAAGGGTACAATTCAAACCCAGCTCTGTAACTAACAAGCCCTATGGATCTTCCTCCCAAGATGTGATATCATCTGTGGTTGACATAGCTAACACTAGCCATTGTCAAAGAGTCCTGGTGTGGTGCTGTAGGATAAAGCACTGAATTGAAAGATCAGCTTGAACCACACAGTCAACAGTTCAAACTCACCAGCTGCTCCCCAGAAATCCTATTCAGGGACACTATGGGTTGGAACAGACTTCACAACAATAAAAATAAGAGCTATTGTCAAAAGATGGGGAACTGTTCTTATTTGTAGTCATGTTTCATGATGGATCAAACACAGGAGCACATGGAATCTATGAGAGCAGGGCATGTGCACTCAGTGAACAGAGCATCTAGTGTCCAGGTAATAAAATGCTGATGGAGGAGAGTGCACAGGACACAGGACATGGCTGCTGGGAGACAGAACAGAAGGGTTCTCCTACCAGAACCTCTGGGGGATGCTTCGGGTACTAAGTTGGTACATCAGTATAAACGACAAGGACCTTGAGTTCAAGGTGATGAGACTCACATCGGAAAGTAAGAATACTTATTGATTTTAAATCATTTTAAAAATCTTACTAGTTGGGCATAAGTTTCTGTGGGATTCAAGGTGATAGAAGCATGTTTTATGTAGGATTTCCGGTGATGGAGCCGTGGGAAGTTCTGTAGCATCTAGAATTAAGGAGCCATGTGCTCTGTGGCATCTAGGATTACAGAGTTGTGTGAAGCCTGTGGGATATAGAATGATGGAGCTGTACATACTATAGGCTATGGAGTGAAGGAACCATGTAAGGTTCTGTGGGACCTGGAATGATAAAAGTGTGTGTGCACTATAGGATTCGAGATGATGTAGTTGTATGAATTCTGCGGAATCTGGGATGATGGAGCTATGTGCACTATAGGACATGGGATGGCAAAGTTGTGGCTATGTTATGGAACATGGGATGATGGAGTTATGTGAAGTTCTATGGGATCTAGGATTGCAGAGCTGTGGTAGGTTTTGTAGGACCTGGGAGGATGAGCGATATGTGCTGCCACTTTGGAGACATTCATGTTACCTGCTGTGACGTTGTTCTGTCCTTGTCCCAGAGTTCTTTGCAGGCTTAGTCTGAGGCTCCCATCACTGAGAACAAGCAGAAGTTGCCCTGAACCCCGATGAAGCTGACAGGACAGTAGACGCCCTTCTTGACTCCAAGTTCGAAACTGGAAACTGACAGTGACCCCATCCTCCCCTGGGAAGCCAGTCAATGCCAAGGAGCTCCTGTGGCTCAGAAATGTCACTGGAACGGTCTGTTGTTGTGAACAGGAGAATGACATGTTTCCCTGGAATCAAAGGAAGAGGAGAATTGAGAGACAAGGGGGCCTGCCCAGTCCAGCAGTCCAGGATGCTGCTCATCAGTGAAGCAATATGACCCAGGATTAAGTGGCCATATCACTGATGTTTCCCAGAAAACCCACCTCCGTGTCACTGATCCTAGAACACAACCCACCCTGATACAGAATCCCAATGGGTAGATCTTCACAAGGGCCTCAGCATAACTCAACAAGCATTTGGACAAGTGTCTGTCACTATGGCCTATAAGAAGCCCCCGGTTATACCTCCTGCTTTCCACCACCCTCTCCACCAGATCCTCCCCTCTGCTTTCCATGGTTCCAAGGCCCACCACTTCATGGATTCCACAGATGTGGTAAAACGTGCTTCTTACCCAGACTATCAATTACGTTTGTTTTTGTCTTTACTTCTCCTGTACACAATGCTGCCTTGAGGAAGACACTGAATTGCTTAGAAGCATGAAAGGTGCCACTTTGCCATGTGGGAGCAGCAGCTCTCCCCGTGACCCCATCATGAACATCCAGGACCTCTCTTACCACAGTGAGGACCTGTGGACTGTGCTGCTTGGCCAAACTGATGATGTCCACTCCGTTAAAATGGACGTTTTCTAAGCATCCATGGAAATGTTTTCTTTGAAATGTCACTGATTTCCCAGGTGCTAAAATCCCTCCAAAGCTGATCTTAGAAAGAAAAATGACATCAGTAATATACTTCAGTGAGTTTCTGATAATTTGCTTCAAACATCTATGATTTATAGCCATACAATTATAGTCACAGAAAAAGCAATTTTGCATAACTATATTGTCATGCTTGTTAATATTAAATGCAATGCTAAGTCACCGATTCTAAACTAGTTTTGCATGTACCTGATACTCACTGATTCCACAGCTCCTTTATCTGTAATGAGGAGACCATGTAATGTGTTATCAAAGTTGGGGAGTGGGTTACTAATATAGAAAGCAACCCAGTAGGTAAGAACTAGCACCATTCAGGGTGGACAGAACCAGGGTCTCTGGAGCAAAGAATATCAAGTCCATCCAAATCCCTTCTGATCTGCGTGAGGTTCCCTACTCTCTCTCCTCCCTTTCCCAAGAATACTTGTGTCCCTCTAGATCCACTCTAAATCCAGGTTACCATCTTTGTGAGGTTCCCTCCTTTCTCTCCTCCCCACATACGGCTTTCTATTAAGGTTAGGACTTTGTATTCTCCAATGGCTTCCAGGTCAGGAGTATGGCATCTAAGTTTCTTTGCCTCAAGAGTGCCCCAAATGACCCAGGTGGAGGCAACTTACCTTCCTTTGGATTGCCCGTGGTAACAGGCTGACACCTCCCTGAGGAAGATTGTCTGGGATCACACCCACGCCTGGCCTCCCTCCATGCCCTGCTGTCCCCCATCCTTAAGGCTCTTCCCTGGATCACTCCCTTATGTCTAGGTCCCTGTCTGGAGGCACTGGACATAAGATATTCACCATGTCTCTAATGCTATATATTAGATTATATGAGTTCCTCTGCAAATGCTTGTCAGCTCCAACTGTGGCATGTACTGGCTGATAGGGTTATAATATCTTCATATTCATTGTACAATGTGTTTTGAATTGTGCAAAACAAATCAGAGCAAACATCACAGTCTTGTTCTGGGTTATATACACCTCTGTGCACAAAACATCACGATGGTTCCTTTTCCTATAAACTGGGTTTTAAGACAATAAAGCCATGGATGATGTAAAACAAGGCTAGAATCTTCTGTTGGTTGTATCTTTTGAGTCCTTTTATGACAGATGAACACTGAAATGATTTAGGTTTGTTTTGCTATTTCATGAACTCAAAACTGTCTTACAAAACATGGCAGAAAGATGTTGTGTACTAGTGCAATTTAGATATAAGTGTGCAATTGACTGCAAATGGCTGGCCACTTTTAAAACCTGAGCAGTAAGATGTTACATTTAAATCTCTTACTAATGACGTATCTAGTTGGGATACATTACAAAGCTTGCCCAAATTATCACAGATGAGGTCTAGACATGCACTATGGCAGGAAGAAAGTCCTCAAGTGTGGGTCACAAAGATCACTCTTCATAGAGTTACCTCTTCCTTTGAGGACTGTTTGCTAAACATTAATGACATAGCACTATGGCAGTTAGATTGAAAATCTTATCCACAATATGATCACTACCCACTGCTATCATGCACCATTCACTCTAGGAGACATTTCTCCATTGTTCTAAGCTTCAGTGAATGATATTTCTCTAAAGAACTTCTTTATTGTTTAATGACTGCCTGCTCAAATCACAAAGTCCACAATGGCTGGAGAGTTGGTTTCCCACCTCAGGATGGAGATTCACATGACTCAGGTCCCTTGGTGCCTGGAGGTGCATTACGTGGGTGTCCATGGTGAGATTCATCTGCTGGCCACAGTGCTCCAGAAGGACAGAGTGCCAGTGCTGGTCATCTAGGAGGCTGCCCAACGCCGTCTGGGTGGGAGCAGACAGGGGCACACGCAGGCCTCCACCTAGATAAGGGGATGGAGGCATGGTTGGCCCACCCAAACCATTGCTTCCACTGCCCAGCTGAGCATGTCTCCACACGGTGGAGCTGGCTTTACCTGACTCTGGGTTTACCTGACTATTAAACCAACTGACACCAAATTGACTTTGACTAATGTGTGTCAGAGTACAATTATGACTTCCATAATGGTTGACTTTTCAGAAGATCACCAGATCTACTTTCCAAGGCATATTTGGAAGGACTCAAACCTCTCACCTTCAAGTTAGCAGCTGAGTGCTTTAACAATTTGCACTCCTGGTGTGGCATAATGCACTTGACCTTTAGGTCAGTTTGAACCACAAGGTTGGTGGTTCAAATTCACCAGCCATTCCTCAGAAACCCTATACAGAGTCAGTATGAGTCAGAACCAACCCAATGGCACTTAACAACAACAACAACTACTACACTACTACTAAGGGATTCTAAACCCAATATTAATTCCAACTAATTGTACAAAGTCCATTCATAACCATTTCCTTTCATTATCTATTGCATATTCATATTCCTTTGAAGTGTCTTAGCCTTGTATTAGGATAGGACAGTGGTTCCCATTAGTCATTTTGCACCCCAGGGGACATTTGACCACATCAAGAGACATTTTTGATGGTTAAGATTTGGGTTAGAGTACTATCAGATCTTGTGGGAAGAGACCAAGGGTGCTGCTAAACATCCTGCAATGTATGGCATGACCCTCACCCCTAAAATAGTCAAATCCAAAATGTTGATAGGGCTGAGGTAGAAAAAAAACTGGGTTAGAGATAAGTAGATAACTTTGCATGATAGAAACAGTGGCAAGGGCTGTCTTCCTGGTCAATTGTTGTTGATAAGTATCATCGAGTCTGTTTTGACTCATAGAAAGCTTATACATGGTTTCCAAGGAGCAACTGGTGAGTTTGAACTGCTGATCTTATGGTTCAAACTGACTCTGTGGTCCAGTGCTTTACCTCACAGCACGACACCAGGACTCCTGGTCAATTGTTGTTGTTGTTGTTATCAGGTGCCATCGAGTCGGAACCGACTCATAG